CGGTAAATAGCTGTGGGCAATGGCGAAGTGTGGTTAATTTTGGGGTGGCAGCGGCGTCATGGCCGGCCGGTAACCGCCTTGTAGAATGTGAAAGTGGGACAACTGGTGAAGGCTCCAGCATTTGGCAGTGAAACTTTGGAAATGGCTAGGGGACAGTAAACTGAATTTAATTTAGAAAATCCGAGTCACTCGAGTTGTTCCTAGCCGTGGATGAAAAAGCAACCGTTAGATCTTCTTCTCTCTGAAAATATTGTTCATGGTCTTTCTCCTCGTGACCTTGATCTGAACCGCCCTCAACCGCCGGCCTAACCGCTTATTTCCACACCTCTAACCCTGGCGACGAACCCTTTTTCTTTACGAACTAGCGTCACCCTCACACCGCTAAGATAAATCCGCTAAGATAAATAATCGGTAGCTTGCCATTTTAAGATAGATAATGGGGTAGTCCTCTCTGGCGAGCTCCTTCCTTTCCTCTTGTTCTTTTCTTAACGCCAAAATCGACTCGCGGTTCTAAGGTCATATGCCACCCTCAGGTAGCCGCTCTTCCTCTTTTTGGGTCGGATCACACTTCTTGGAAATATGCCCCAAAGGCAATAGTTTGTATTTCCATACTCATAATTAAATAGTTTATATTCTATGTAATAACTGCTATGATCCTGAAATACGTGATTCAGTGAAAAACTCATATGCACGTGTAGAATGATAAATGGTTATAGAAAAGATTCCTAGTCTAGCCTCTTGGACTAGCTCAAGTGTTGTTGGTGATCACGTTTTCCGAATCTTAGGATATCGTTTAAGTGCAGGCCAAGAGCACCAATGGTCTAGAGACCCTCAAGGCGCACGACACGCGCACGCTCTAGGATCCGCCTCCGCCATGTTCCATCGTGCCATCTTCAGGATTGATCAACGCATTCATCTTGTCCAGACCAACTGCCGTCGACGTCACCACGACACCAAACAACGCCACCGACTTGTGATCGCCCATCCAGACGCATCTGTCGCCAAAGGCTCCAATGCACCATGGCTCTAAGACCCGTTGTCGTCGACGTAGTAGAAACGATGCCGCTCCACCTCTGGACCCCTTTAGCCTATACTTGCTCTAAGAACGATGCCCCCGAGAGAGTCAGTGGCGCCAGACACCGCCATCGCCTGATCCGGAAAACCGAGATCAGGAGTTTCCCCCGGAGTAGACGCCCCTTCCAGCCGAGGCCATATGATGGTCCAACGTCACCACGCCTCCGAGATCCCATCGGCCGCAACTCCAAAGCAGTGCCTCCAAGGAGGTAAACAATGCCACATGTTGCCACTGTCTTGTCCGGATGGCCAAACCTGAGGTTTCCTACAGAACTCAATGGGCCCACCACCATGACAATGCCCTCCAAGGAGGTTAGCGGTGCCCATAGACGTCACCGCATCATCCGCAACGGCAGTTCCATGCAGAGGATTTCTCCCTAGCGGTACAGACAACCACCAATGCCAAATCAACCGGGCACGTGACCCAGATCTGTCCAACCGAAGCCAACACAAGGTGCCGCCGTTGGTTGGAAGACGATCCAGGCACGCATGCCATGGATCCACCGCCACCACCTGCGGCTCGTCGCCCCTGACCCTCGCTGCAAGAGGCCGTTGTCGGCCGGATCTTGCCGGAGCCATCCCGCCACCACAGCCGCTCCCACACGATCCACTCACCACCACGCCGGCTGAGACAGGCGCTCGACGCCTGCGTCATGCCCAGTCGAGAGGGAGTCGTCCCGCGTTGGCCCCTGCCCTCAAAGGGTTGAGGCTACCCCGCCACCGCCGGCTCCGGTCGAGCTTTGCTCGTCCAGGCCCTGTGGCGGTGGCGAGGGGGGAAGGAGGGCTGACGGCGACATGGGAGGAGACGTAGGTCTGCACTTTGATAGGATCGGGGTGTTTAGAGCTCCTGGATATTCAAATCCGAGTAATGCTAGACCCACTAAAACTTACGTATGTTTTCTACATAAAGGCTGATATTGATGAAATCAATTGGATTATGATTAGTGGTTGGCCCACCTTGGTTGAAATCGGGGGATCTCATCAGCCATAGCCAAACAATCGACCGCAAACGTCGAGGACAGTCAGCTCCGATTTTGCCGATGCGCTTCACTGGAGAAAGTTGCAAGCCTCGCACCAACTTGGTCCAATGCAACCTCCGAAGAGTGCCGTCCAATAAAACCGCCCTCATGGAGTCATCGTTGCCGCATAGACCCCGCCACACGTAGCCCCGAGTTCTCTGCCACAGCGAGAAACAAACATAGGCACACCCATTGGCAAACGAAACCGTCAACATTAGAAGGACAAGCCGCGACCCAGCTCCACACACCACCATCATCATCGCCATACAGTCTCGACGTCAACCACTCGCATCACCTGTTGGGAACCTACCAACCATGATGTCGTGCGCGTCCAGCCCAAAGGAAGCGCGGAGAAGGATCATTGTTCTCCAAAGCAACGCCCCAAAGGGGAAATCGCCGTAGGGCGAGGTCGTTGCCTCACCAAGAGCTATTTTTTTAAAAATAATACAATTATTTTATTAAATTTCAGAAATATTACGGCATAATTATATTTTTCAAAAATAATACTCAGTCGGCCTACTGCTGGCCGATTGGATCCAGTCAGCCTACTGCTAGCCGATTGGACCCCAGTTGGCCCACTGTCGACCGATTGGATCCAGTCGGCTCACTGCTGGCCGATCGGCCCCAGTCGGCCCACTGCTGGCCAATTGGCGCCCAGTCTGCTTCCTCTAGGCTGACAGGTGCATGCATCCATTTATCTTGAATAAGTGTTTGAAAAATGTTGAAGAAGTATTGAAAAAAATGTTGATCATGCATATAAAAATGTTAATCAGGCATTTAAAAAAATTGAACAAATATTTGAAAAATGTTGAAAAAATATTTGTAACTGTTGAATAGGTATTTGAAAAATATTGAAGAAGTATTTTCAAAAATGTTGATCATGTATATAAAAATGTTAATCAAGCATTTGCAAAAAATGTTAAACAAGTATTTGAAAAAATGTTAAACAAGTATTTGAAAAAAATATTGATCATGTATATAAAAATGTTGAACAAGTATTTGTACAAATGTTGATCATGTATATAAAAATATTGGTCAATATAAAAATATTGATCATGTATATTATGCACATGTTAAACATTTTTTCAAATACTTGTTCAATTTTTTGAAATACTTGTTTAACATTTTTTCAAATACGTTTTCAACATTTTTATATACATGATCAACATTTTTACAAATACATGTTCAATATTTCTATATACATGATCAATATTTTTTAAAATATGTGTTCAACATGTTTTCAAATACTTGTTTAACATTTTTTGCAAATGCTTGATTAACATTTTTATACACATGATCAACATTTTTTTAAATACTTCTTTAACATTTTTCAAATACATATTCAACAGTTTTCGAATTTTCTTAATATTTTTTAAATACTTGTTCAACATTTTTTCAAATGCTTGATTAACATTTTTTTATGCATGATCAACATTTTTTTACATACTTCTTCAATATTTTTCAAATATCTATTCAACAGATAAATGAGTGCATGCACCTGTCGGCCTAGAGGAAGTAGACTGGGCGCCAATCGGCCAGCAGTGGGCCGACCGGGGTCCAATCGGCCAGCAGTAGGCCTATTGGGTATTATTTTAAAATATATAATTATGGCGTAATATTTCTGAAATTTAATTAAAAAACTGTATTATTTTAAAAATAATTAGCGACCAAGATGAGCCTAGGCTTTCGCCCGAATAACCAGATCCAGGAATGGAGCATGTCCAAGAAACTCCGTGGCAACATCTTCAAAAAGAGAACTACGCCCGTAGGCGCCGCCACCGCCGGCTGGGGAAAGCCGGGCAAACTTTCGCTCGGAGCAGACTTGGCTAGCACATCCCCACGCTACCGACGACGAAGCGCCGCCGGCCCGCAAGCCCACTGGCCCACACACGTCTTGTGCGATGACGGGGTCACCACCACGCAGGACAATGCCGCGTATGTAAGTCGGTATACGTATATATCCATGTGTGATCGTTGATACGAGAACGAGAGAATCTCACATTCTCACATAAGACGAGGACACAGAAATTTAATACTAGTATGTTTCTTTCGTAAGGACACGGAAATAACACCAAGAAAGAAGAGAAGACTAGTTAGTAGTACTTCTCTCACATCATTTGACCTTGACCTTGTCTTTTCATAACATAGAGACGGAGAAACAAAGTGGGTTTGAACATCGAATTTTATGGGCTGACGAACGATATTGATTAATTTCGTAAAAGCTACTACTAGTAACTGACTAGTGTGGTAGTTTTCTTGCGAGGCAGTTGAGAACCTGATTTTTCTCTCCCTTGCTAGTAATTAATTAAGCTCTAGATAGCTATACCATGTGGCTATGCCATGCCGTGCACACCACACCCAGTGCGTCGGCGCCGCCGATTGCTGTTTCACATCGCGGCGGTGCTGGCCGGCCGTTGACGTCCGCGTTGCCGAGCTTCATTATTCGCCATCTCATATCCATTAATCCAAGTGCTGTCATTAATGCTGGGTTGTTTCGTGTTGTATGGGAGCATTTGACCCTTGCACATAAAACATGATATCATGGTGCTTAATTAATTGACTCAAGGAATAGAGGTCGACGCATGCACCATACTACCTCCATGATCGATGATAAACTTCTGCAAGGGACCTGTACGCGTACAAAACACGGAGGATCCAAATGTGTGTGCTGCACCAAAATGACGCGGAAACTAAGGCGTCGTTGCTGACACATTTCTCCATCGCTGCCAACATGTTGTCTTGTGTTCGCACGCCGCGTATATATACACCCACCACGCGCGCCATATTATCCGTCAACCGTATCAAAGTTTTTGTAACGACACAAATCAAGTTGCTAGCTCCCATTTCAGCTGGTAATACCTGCAAATTTGGTGATAAGGTAGCTAGGTGATGAATAGTCACTCGATCATGGTGGTACCGTCGGTGTTCGCCGCCTTCGACAAGGACGGCGACGGCAAGGTGTCCGTGTCCGAGCTGCGCTGCTGCATGGCGGCGTCCTTGGGCGAGGACATATCCTAGGAGGAGGCGGCTGTGGTCCTCGCGGCGGCGGATGCCGATGGTGACGGGCTGCTAAACCCAGAAGAGTTCTCGAGGCTAGCCGCCGGTGCCCATGAAGAGGACGACGTGAGGCGAAGGTGCCTGAGGGAGGCGTTCGGGATGTACGGGTCGTCATCCACGGAAGACACAACGACGACGATAATTACGCCGGCGAGCCTGAGGCGGACCCTGAGCAGACTGGGGTCGCACGAGCTGGGCGTGGAGGAGTGCAGGGCAATCTGCAGGTTCGACCTCGACGGCGACGGCAAACTCTCGTTCGACGAGTTCCGGGTCATGATGATGGCATGATCATCGACTCTCTTCTAGGCATTTTTCTAGACAGATATAATGTTCACTTAATTCATCCATTGATCACATATGTATGTACAGTCATGCGTTCATTCATTCATTATTTTGCCCGGAGACCGCTAGTAGGACTATGTTATAGTAGTAGCTGCCAGATGAGAAGATGATATATGTGCAATCTCCTTCAAATAGGTTCTAGTCCCGCTTTATAAATAAAACAACTGTCTATACAATCAGCATCCAAACCTCTGATTAAAAATGACGGCCGGGGCAATAGCAAAATCATGCCCAAAAAACATAAGAGGAATAAGAAGAAGAAAACACCTAGTTGTTGCTGTGAAGCGGCCCTACGAAGACGACAGTCGACGCGCTGTATCCAGGAGCACATCCATCATGAGGCCGAGATGATCACGGTTACGCTGCCTCGAGAGCGAGTGGCAGTGCTGCCGAAAAGCAAGGAATTTGAAGGAGTCAGACTCCTGCCTCGGTAGGATCTTCTCAATTACCATCTTATTACGTGTCGTTCATAAAGTCCATGACATCTCCGCATAGATAAGCCACAATAAGTGGCGATGTCTTGTATGGTTTGTGCCCCGATCTGGAGGAACTCCGCGAGGTCCAGGGCCTCCTAATCAGCCCCAGCACCTCACGAACAAACGCCCAGAGGACCCGCACTGCCGTACAGGAGAATAGGATATGTGTCCCGGTCTCCGGTATCACGCGTAAGGGGCACAAGCCATCACCCGGGCCGTGCCGGTTAAGTACCTCGGTCCCCGAAGGGATGCGGTTGCGTAATAGCTGCCACACAAAGATCTTAATCTTCAAGGTCAAAGGGCCTTTCCACAGGGAAGAAAGTCATGGGGTGGCAGATGACTGGAATAAAGCATGGTATGTCGTGCTCACCGAAAACTGCGCCTTCGGAGATAGCCGCCAAGACATGGTGTTCGATAGTCCGGTAACACCAGTGGTAGGTACGCTCGAAACTAGTTCAATCGTCACTCTCTGCCTGCCCAAAAGTACGAAGAAACCGAATATTCCACTGTCCAGAACGGAAGGTCGTGGACACAATTAATAGCGAGTCCGCATAGATCGAGAACAAGTTAGAGAAGCTCACCCTCAGTGGCTCGTTAACCAACCAGGGTTCCAGCAAAAATTGGGTCCCATCCTCATTTCCTGTGGAGGAGGATATCCCTAGATGGATGTCCTCCTTGATCCTTTGGATGGATCGCCAGAACTGTGACCCTCTCGAGCGCACACCATGAGAAGCTCACCCCTAAGGTATTTTTCTTGAATGAGCTGTAACCATAGGCCACCCTCACCGCGTAGTATCCGCCAGACCCAGCACAACATTAGCAGCCTGCCACCACAGTTCTTGGGCATACATATGTCCGCCTACTTGACCATGTGATACTTCCGGCGTCCATTAGCGGCCTGCTAGAAGAACCTAGCGAGCTCCTCATTGAAAGAGCTATGAACGCCCTCTGGCAATATATACAGCTCCATCATATACATGGGAAGGCTCGCTAGGTTAGCACTGATAAGGACCAATTTGCTCCCTTTTGAGGCAAACCGCCTACACCATGGCTCGGCCCAGGATGCTACTAGTCCCACCAGCGGGTCAAAGGCACTCATCAATATCTTCGAGTCGGCCATCGGCATTCCCAAGTATGTTATAAGGAATGAGGTCAATCTGCAGTTTAGATTGTCCATAATCCGTTGTTGTTGCTCCACTGGAAATCCCAAGACGACGACCTCACTCGATCTTATCAAAGTTAATCTTTAGTCCGTACATATCCTCAAAACAGCGGAGTAGAAACTTAAGATTCACAATGTCCAGGTCTGACCCCTCCACCATAATCATGTTGTCGTCATCATATTATAAGTGGGTGACCCCTCCACCAAGGATCAAGTGACCAACTACCCCGGAGAGGTGACCTTCCATCCTAACTTTATCCAGGATGCCCACTAACGCACCCACGACGAGATTGAAGAGAAGTGGGGAAATCGATCCCCTTGCTTCACTCTTGCAGAGGACGTAAAGAATGGTCCCACCTCGTCATTAATATTTATATTATTTTTGCTACATATAATTTATATTGGGTGGGTCTATTATGATAACACCCCTTAAGATTTTATTCTGCACCTCACTTTCTTATTCTGCTAACACCCCACCCCACGTCGTGCCTTCAGAAACAAACCGCACCCACGCATGCGCCGAACCCCCACACTCCCACCTTCTTCCCCGTCGGGACCCCCGCACCTGCCATCTTCCTCGCCGCCCCCATCCCGCCTTCTTCCTCGCCGGTGCCCACGCACCCCCACTTTCTTTCCCGCCGCCCCCACACCACAACCCACCTTCTTTCCTTGCAGGGCTCCCCGCACCCCAAACTTCTTCCCCTCCGGGCTCCTGCACCCC